TCACAGTTAAATATTTTATTTCTGCGCAAATTAACAACCTGGACGTATCGGCGTCAGATTTAGCTGATAGCCTTTCTACGAAAATCCCGAGTTCTGTTTTTATTCTAACAAAACACCAGCCTAGATCTTTTCCTGAGCAGACAAATGTCCGTCCAGAGCCGCGGTAAGGAGTCGCGCGAAATCTTGTGAAGTCAGGTAAAAATTTGTTGTGTGATTTATGTGTAGTGTTGTAATGTGTGTGTGTGTGTGTTGGTCTTGTGTGATGTTTGTTAGTGTGTTGTGTGTGTGTGTTCGTAATGTGTGTTGGTGGTGTGTGTGTGGTGTGTGGTGGTGTGTGTGCTGGCTGTGAGGCGTAAGCCATCATCGACTACATATGAAGGCACCGTTAATGCTAATATCCAGTATTCATTCTAGTTCGCGTCTTTGAATGCTTATTGGCTCCAATGCCATGTACTATTCCTCCGCAAGATATGAGTGACCTCTAAACCTCTCCCATCTCTCAACAAATTGCATAGAAGCGCGAGCGCATTCTTTATCTCCCTCGCTCTACCCTCCAACCCCGCATCCCTCGAAACCTTTCTCGGGCGTTCCACTCCCGCTCTCTCGTCCCCAGTCTCTCTCCATCGCTCTCCCTGCTCTCTCATCGCTCTCTCTCTCTATCTCTCTTCTCTCTCTCTCATTCTCTCTCTCCTCATCTCTCTCTCTCTATATATATATATATATTATAGTAGTATAGGTGGCGCTATAACAGTAAGCCTCCGCGATGTTCACCGTTGCACTACTTCGTCTCTAAAAAGGCCTTTTGGCATTTTTTTTCGCCCGAATTCGGCCACTAGAGTGCAATAATTGCATTATGCATCGCAAGTGGATGCCTCGTGGACGGTCGGGAAAGACATGTAGAAGTAAAATTATCTTGTTGTGTCAGTTCGTGACATTCGTCAGGTGGCGGTAGTCACAGCGACCGGTTGGTGTATTTGTGTTCTGAAATGTGTCAGACAAACTTTGCAGAATTTCGCATACATAAGCGGCAAAAGTTTCACGGGGAGCATCAGAGCATGAATCTGTCATTATTCTAAACACGAATAAAAGGTATTTTTTGTAAGTGCAGTAACACGTGCTGGATATTTAATTAATCTTCTGTTCGATCTATCAGGCCTGCAGCCCTATTGACGCTGTAAAGTTTCCAAAACCAACTTCTCGTACTGTTGTTCAGCACCTCAAAAAGCCACCTGGTAAGAAGTGCGCTTCTACCAAGGAAGTCGATTAATTGAGTTTTTATCGTTAATGAAAACTCAGTTATCAAGTGCTCTACGCATGTTTTTTATCACATGCATGTTTCAAATAATCAATTTGATACATGTTTTTTGAATGTAACCATGTTACATATCCGTGTCACTATTTCACATTGTATTTACAAAAAGTACACCCTAATTTTACAGCACATATTGGGTGTCAATACCCAACCTTAGAAAAATACAATGCAAACTCTTCGTAATAAATCTCTAAAATATTTGAGATTGCACGTTACCAACCCTAACAGTAGGAAACCCAGTCCAAACCAATACTATCTAACTTTAATAACCTTGGCAATATTACCAACAGACCTCTTAAGGAACGTGCATACCTAGTTACACACACAGTATCCACTGAAGACTTGACAGTCTGGCGCAGGCAAACTCGAATATGTTGGTAACTACAACTACATTATCGTCCCATGGCCAGACATAAATACCTTTAATTTTTCTCACAAATAATTATAGCTCTCAATCTTTTCCTGTTTCGACCTCTCCAGGAATATAATAAGTATAAAATGAAGTAACATTATATTATATATATAATAAATATACATGTTTCTTTAACGTCATATGTAATATTATGTAATATAGTATGAATACTTATGCTTAGAAAGTTCACATATATATAACTATTTATTATCATCACCTCATATATATTTTGAGTTCGTATGTAATGTATGTATTGTATGTATGTTCGCTATGATAGATGTATGGTCAGTGAGGTATAGTGTATCATTCTGAGGTGCCACCGCTATAAAGCGCGCTGCGGTCCCAAACCCGCTGCACAACGCGAATCTGGATGCAATTCTTACGAAGGGCCATCTCTCTATAAGCAAGAACAATCCCGGGAACCGTGTTCTAGATGAAAAAACGATCACTGTCAAACCGGTCAAAGCTCACCTACCGAAAATCCGTGGAAAAAACCCCCGTCAATTTTCATGAATCTTGACAGCAATTTCAGCACTGGACTGACAGTGCTGCCACACCAGGGAAATCGATTCCCGTCACTGTCATCCGGCGCGAATAAGCGACCGTGGAATCCTCGCTGGTACTACCGCGTAACTCCGACAACCATCACTAACACACGTAAGAAACAACAAGCGAACCAACAAAATTCCGCGCGTGAGGTGGAGGCCAAGCGCAATCGCAGCATACGAGTAGCACCAACGCACGAATTTGAGAAGCGACACCAGAGTTTCACAGGCAGCGCGCCCACAGCGTTCAGAATAACAAGTGGCTTTAGGACTCACTCAGCACATGACCCCTTATCAAGACGCTTCAAGTTCAGATGCGCAAGGTTCCAGACTGCTCACAATGTAGCATTGTGATAGCCCGTACTTCGACGAGACGTAGAGCTCAGTGACACTTGATTCAGCTCATGAAAAATTTATATTTCATCATTCAATGTGCGTATTCACGTTGCGTGTCCTCTTATCTATGCCTACCTATGAGCCAGCTATATGACAATTTGTCATTATTTTAGCTCTGGATCTATTACTTCCTTTTTAATTCCTGCTACGATTCACAATGGATAGCTGTACGCTGGGGAGCTCGAGTTGGAGACGTCCAGGAATCTCTAACATATTTTGCACCATACGAATATGACGAAAATTAAACATTCCCCCCCCTTTAAACGAGGTTTCAAATATGAAAAGTCCAACTCATTCCCTACATTCCTCCTTATAATAACTTTTTGCTAATTTACACCATATTACTATTATTCGTCCCAGGAAGCTCTACGTTCCGCTGTGCTGCTCATATAATGTCATACAACAGTTTTTCGTTTTTCCCATGCTTTCATCTTCATTACACACCTCATTTCTACAATATTAATGATGCGGCACCATGCCGGCCGGGCGGCGTGTCTGCAATGTTTATTGTCGATTTTTACCCCAATGTTCCTATTCTGTCCACATTATCATAGTACTATGAGTTAGTAGCGACGCATTTAAACTCAGCGCAGCGTACCCACTCCGCCACGCAGCTAGTATATATATATATATATATAGTCTATAGATAATCACATGATCCGATACCTTCCGTTGCGAATATGCATCCGATACGATACATTATGGTAAGTGTCATGGCGGCGAAACGTTGTTGATTTTCAGTTATCTGAACAAATTAGGTTATTATCATCAACCATGTACAACTTTATCAAAATTACTCAATTTTAGTTAAAGGGTGAGAAGAATATGTTGCTATGAACCGTATTCCGTTTGTCGATTATATAATGTATTTCAGTATTATAATGTTTAAACGGTGCAATGTATCGTGTGATGTAAGCTGTAAATTATGTATGATTGTGTTAACTGTTTTTAGTGCAACTGACTCAGTGACTGTCTGTTGACACTTATAGTTATAGTGTTAACATTGTTGTGTAGATTGTCAGTAGGCTTAAGGCCAATTAGAGTGCAATTTTCTCTGTGAGTTGCTGTGCTGAATAGGTTTGCAATTTTACCATGGCATTGTTACTGTATCATGTGAACTTCACAAAATTCACATTGTGAAGTGTACTTTGGTTTTTACTTGCAGGCGGAGTCCGTCAGAGTCAGACATTTGGAGGCTCAGGTATCTTGTTAGCCCAACCAGGCTCTATGCTTGTGCAAGGTCATAGAAGTGTAGCAATGACATTAATCTGAATCATGCTAATGGTGTTCCATAGGTGAAAATTTAGAATACACGTGCTGTTAACATGTTTTATCCAAGAAAAATCAGATGGGAAGATTGTTTTTAATTCTATCCTGAGGGCATACGAATCAAATCAGTCCTGCATCAGGTAGAGTATCCAGCACTTGAACTAGATTCTTGATTCTTTTTTGTCATTATGAATTGGTGATAGTTCGAGTTGTAAACTGGCACATGTAGTAAGGAACACCTGCGTTCGAAACCCCGTCATTCCACACCAATGTTTTCCGATCTCAGTTGCCGCGAAATTAATATTTGTTTTGTGCTATCATGCAGATCGACCATCGACTTCGTAGGCTATGCTGAACCCCACTCGAAAGCATTGCTAGACGCCGTTCAGATCTAGAAAGTAGCACTTAGCAACCAGTAACAACATGTCGGGCAAACGCCCTGCGGAGACAGCGGCATCGGCCGGTGGGCCGCCCACTAAGCAGAAAAAACACACCCAGTTTGAACCAGTGCAGCTCGGCTCTGTAGCGTCACTGGTAATATATAATATTTGATGTAACGTTGTGTACCTCTGAGTATGTATAGTCATGTGAATGTATGCAGGAGTCGTTATTTGTAGCTCTGCTGTTAAAGTATTACAAGACATGCTGTTGTAGTGTACAATATTTGTAGTCAGCTTATGTTTATATGCAATATTTTGGAAGTGTGTATGTGGCTGTGTTTGTTCGTTTGTCTGTTTGGTTCATGTGTGTGTGTGTGTGTGTGCGTGCGTGCGTGCGTGCGTGTGTTTGTGTTTGTGTTTGTGCTTGTGTGCATGAGTGTACAGATGCTATTGTGCGTGCCTGCATGCGCGTGACACTGGTCGTCAAGTCAAACTTAAAAGTTAGCCAGGCAGCATACAGAGAATAGAAGCAAAATAGTAGTGGATGTCACACCGCCACTGAATTATAAATCTAACAAAAGCACACGCTTAACTTTGCCCCCCCCCCCCCCGCAGGAGGAGATGGACCTTAAAGTTCTGCAATTCCAAAACAAGAAGCTGGCCCAGCGGCTAGAGCAGCGGCGTCGGATAGAGGAGGATCTGAGAAACAGGATCGAGCAGCTGGAGAAACGGCAGACGACAGACGACGCCGTCATGTGCATCGTCAACAGATACTGGAATCAGGTACGGCCATGCCTGTGCATAGCAGTCAGCATAAGGGAACTGCTAGAAAAGTGTCCTTCTACAGGCAGGTGTCTATTTCATAGAGGGTGTATCATATGCGACTGCTGCTGCAAGGAAAGTGTCAAAAAAGGCGCTTGTTATTCTCGCGGTCGGGAAACGGACGGGACGCGTTTGCGAAATTCACGAAAATTAAACCACCGCGAAATATACAGCGTATACAATATTATCATTGCCTTGATGAGAGTCATTTCTAACATAGCCGTGTTCCTCTCGACATTTCTTCTGTTTGATTCGTGACACGTGTGTGTAATCCTCGTTATCGTTTCAGTTGGACGAGGACATGCGCGTTGTGCTGCAGCGATTCGACTGGGAGGTAGCTGATGAGAGTGAAGACAAAGGTGCGTGTCTCTGTCAGGAAAAAAAATCTGTCACAAAACTTAAGATGACTATTGCGAGATTTTTGCTCAGAAAAACTAAATATAGCTGAATATATTCTCACCTGACAGCGGAAATATCACTGATTACGCCAACATTAAAAATACTAAGTGCATTGCTGTTACGATGTGTTCATATCCAATTTTCTATGCTATAACTGCATAAAATTTCTATCGTGTCGCGACAATGCCTAATGGCAGAATTGGTAAACTTGTATTTGTGTCGGTGATTAATTGAAAACAAGTGCATGGTTTGAGAGAGCCATGCTTTGTCTATGGCAGATAAGCGGTGGCGCCATAAGCTAATCCACACTTTCGCCTAGTTCAAGATAAAAGAAAACGAATGTTTACGAAACTAGTTTGAAACCAGTAGTTCGAAACTGGCAGATTTTGGTGAATACGAACGTTCTAAAACATTTTATTGTTACTCTAGACAATTGCTGTTACTCAAGCAATAACGGTAGGTGTCGTGAAAGTGGTGAAAACACTGGAAAATTCTCGCAATAATTGCTTTAACATATATCATGTAGCTATGGTCGTGCGTATCCATTTACCAGTTATGCGAACATAAGCTGTTACCATAGAAATATTAGAGACACTATATATTATTATTTCTATGGCTGTTACACTCAGGGGCAAGGTCTCTCTCTCTTAATTATATAAATTAAAAAAAACACCAGCGATGATGCCTTTTACTGCCCCCTCAATAATACTTCAGAGAGAGAGTAGTAAATTGAGACGGGACAGGAAACGGTGATACGGTGTGTATGCGAGTGGGAAACGGGGTACAATTAGGTTGTGCGAGATGGTGTGCAAGGGGATGGGAGGTGGGAGGCGAGGGGGAGGGAGGTCGAAGGCGAGGGGGAGGGAGA